AAGGACCCGTCGCGAAACGACTTGAAAGTTGAAAGTTGAAACTTCAATTGAATTCAAGTTTCAAGTTTGACATATATGTAGTCCCCTTAGTCCCCTTAGTCCCCTTAGTCTCCTTAGTCCCCTTAGACCCCTTAGTCCCCTTAGACCCCTTAGTCTCCTTAGACCCCTTAGTCCCCTTAGTCCCCTTAGTCCCCTTAGTTCCCCTAGCCCACTCTCAAAAAAGTTACTATAGATATAACATATGTCGACTGAATTCTATATATCTTATGTATGTATACATAGTACCCTTTTTTATAAGGAACAGGAGGCAAGTAAGCAAAGAATTCTTGAATTCTGAATTCAAAGTATTTCTTTGTCCCCTTAGTACCTCTGCCTTGGTAAAAATTGGGTGCTTTTTTTTTTCAAAATTCAATTTGAAATAAAAAAAACCCATAGACTCGTCATATCGTGCAATTGCTACAGATGTGGGTATTTCCAAAACTTCGGTTCAACGTGCTTTGGAAATATTTGAAGAAATTGGTGGTTTTCGAGACCGTTCGCGTTCTGGTAGACCGAAAAAACTCAACGAACGAAATGTTCGAATGCTGAAGCCCTTAGCTAAAGATGATGATAATCGAAGTTCTGCTCGTGAATTAATGGTGAAATTAAACGAATCACTGGACAAACCGATCTGTAGAAGAACAATTATTAATTATCTGCAAAAGTGTGGCTATGAATACAAGATTAAGATCGAAAAACCATTCTTAAACAAGGAAAATCGAAAAGCTCGACTTCAATGGTGTTTAGAACATTCGAATTGGACTGTTGATGAATGGAAGAAGGTCTTGTTTAGTGATGAATCAACTTTTTACGTTATCAAACGTAAAAGCGAGACCAAAATATGGCGTACAAAAGATGAGCAATGGAAAGAAGGTTGTATGGCAGTTGCAGCTACAGGTGGTGGAGGTCGAGTTGGATTTTGGAGTGTTATTACATGGCAGGGAACAGGTTGTTTTAGAGTTTATAGTGAAAATACCAATAGTGATGTTTATTGTGACATTTTGGATAACTATTTGGTTCCAACACTACAGTTATATGGCTTGGAAGACAACTTTATGTTCCAACACGATAGTGCTCGGTACCATACGTCGAAACAAACTGATGGAAAATTACAAGAATTAAATGTAAAGGTACTTAAATGGCCTGCCAAAAGTCCCGATCTCAATCCTATAGAACACTTATGGTCGATAATTGACAATAAATTGAAATCACGACGTATGTGTTCAGTTAAAGACTTAACTGATGGCTTATCAGCCGAATGGTTAAGTATAACACAAGAATTATGTGAAAAACTTGTCTTTTCAATGCCGCAACGGATACAGAAATGTATTGCAGTAAATGGCAAATGTATAGACTATTGAAATCTTTGGTTATCAAAAACGTTCTTCTTTGTATACAATGACTTTTTTGTTTTGTCCCGGAACTTTTTGCCGCTGGAGATATTTTGCTTTGTGTTTTTTTTTATAATAAAATTAGTTGTATTTTGTTTTCGCAATAAAATATGAAAGGTCTACTAGTAACTATCCTAAACATATGAATAAAGTTCGAGTCGACTTAGTCGCAAAGTTATAATAAGTGATTTTCAAGTGTCCCGGAACTTTTTGCCACCACTGTAGATATTCGTTCGAAAAAATATTGAACATATTTCCCATGACTGCAGACAATAAACAAAGTAATCCTTTCACAAAATCAAGACTAGTGAGCCCTCCATTCGGTTACGCGCGCTTTTCATAAACTCTATGATTCGCCGATTTTTACTGGCTTCCGATTAATGGTGGAGTTGACCCAATGGCGAAGTCGGATTCTCGAGGGATAGACATTTCGATAGCGGGAAATAGCATTTATTTATGTAAAGACAGCCATTAGCTATAATTGAACTGAAACAATGTCAAATATTG